AATTTTCAACAATCTCAAAAAGAATGATTGGTAATGGTCCCAGATGCGAGGCACATCGTTTTAAATGTATTTTACAGAAGTTATGATTTCATTCTGTAGGTGATAATCCCTTTCTAAAAATCTTAAAATCAAATTGCAATTTTGAATATTTTTATGATGCTTAACAATCAGATTGAATTCAAAATGCTTTATCCTACTTGATTCCTAAACTTCTGAAAAATATCTTCAAACATAGCGATTCTATAACGGCTTCCAGTATATATTCTACCAAGAATTGTCTTTCTGTACTCGTCGATAAATTATTCACAGCACTGATGGTGAAACTTCAAGAGGTGGTGTAAATCAGAAGTAGATGCTTAAAAATTACAAGGAACTTTTGAACAATTTAAATTCAATAGATTTTAACAAGATCAACAGCTTAAAAACTTTCAACATTATACACAACCTTTTCCCAAGATAGATTAAAGTCAAGGCTTTTTGATATCATCGACAGCAGCTTTTTAAATTAGAATGATACTCGTAAATTTACTTACCTCCTGAATGGTCATTTGCAAAATTAATTTGTAAAAAAAATATTCTGATTGTACATAGAAGTTCTCTAAAGTTGATATAAAAAGATATTTAAGTTTCTGATTGACGTATCTGTATGGTTTTTGGAGTCCAGGTCTTGAAAAATCTACTAGAATTCCCATTGGTATCAATTACGTTCCATTATTAGCAAACCTATTTTTCGTATTCGTGTGAAGCAGAATTTGTGCAAAATCTTATACGTGAAAGAAAGAAAACACATGTGATTCGACATTTAGATATATCGACGACGTAGTGTCAATTAACAATGGTAATTTCCATTCTTATGATGATGCAATATATGCTTAACTTGTCAGCTTGAGATAAGAGATACCATAGAGCCTGACACATCTGTTTCATATTTGGATATCTTACTTGAAAAGATGCTAATGGTAATCTAACAACCAAGCTCTATGATAAAAGTGATGACTTTGGGGTTCATCAAAGGTCAACATATCCAAAATTTATGTTTACAATAGCCCTAAAACTATGTTCCTCAACTGCATTTGGAGTTTATATATTTCAGTTGATTCGATACGCTAGAGCATGCTCTATCATGAACGATTTCAAAAACGAGGTAAATCATTGACAAACAAGTTGATGAAACAAGAGTATCAGCAGTCTCTTTTATAATCATCATTTCGTAAGTTCTATGGTCGATACAATGACCTTGTCAGCAAATACAATTTATAATTGAGTCAAATGCTGATTGACGTTTTTCATACTACTTGTTATTCCTTTATTTATAAACAATGAATTGACAACGGATTTTTCCGTTATTTCCCGTCCATGACAAGAAACACACAGTGGACGTAACCGATCAAGAGGGTATGCTCGCTCCTCCATGGCACCTGATCCCACCTCTGATATTTGGAGGCCCGTGTTTGCTTTTCTCCTATTTTGTATTGTTTTGTGGACTTTTGATATTGAATACTGTTCGTAATCTCCATATGTTTCATTAGTTGACTTTTGTGATCGAATACTCTTTGTTGTATCCATATGTTTCATTCCATATTTCTTGTGTTTGACGTGGTTAGAGCGTTTGCTCTAGAGTCTCAGAGTAAGTTGAACTTTCGCAGGTTTGAGTCCCACTGGGGAACGTGGAGACTAGTCATTCATATGAGACCTTTAAAGCGAGGTAACGTTCCACAGTAGGTGTTGCACAAAAAATACCCCTACTTGCTCAATATCCCTGAATGTCACTGGAGTTAAGGTCCCTTGATATGTTACATTTTCCCTTTGACTCATCCACTTTATAGTCTTACTTGTCAGCCTCAAATGACTTATTTTGTCTTAATTTTTATTTTTGTTAAACAGTCTTTTGAAATTTCTTTTTTCATTATTGCACAACTTATTATTTTCTGTATTACACTATTATTTCTCCTTATATATTTTTATAATTCATAAGCGTATTGGCTTTTGCTTAGCTTTGAAATCTCTTTTCTTGGGTTTCAAACTAAAAGCTTAGAAAACAGAAACACAAGGTTTTTTTGTATTTGAAATCATTTATCATCTCAAATGATGTTTAACATTTACAGGTACAGCATGCGTGTCTGTGACATCTAGATCACTAAAATTCTATGAATATTTTAGATATTTCAGATGTAAAAATCTTACCAGGCAGTATGTTGAGGATAGTAACAGGGCAGAGCAATGTCTGAATGTACTGTTATGCTGAGAATCCAAAAGGCCATGCCGAGTACAGCTGGACTAAGATAAATTCTAATAAATCCACAGTAGTGTCCACGGGTCAAGTTTACGTCATACGGACCGCCACCATTGAGGATGGGGGTACATATACCTGTACAGCTTCAAACTCTGTGGGGAACTCTAGCGGTTCTGTTGATGTTTCTGTACAATGTGAGTGTTAGAGTTCTGCCGAAAAACAAACGCCTATACATCTTTTAATAATAATGTTGGACATTTGCAACAATTCATGTGAATACATTGAATACTTAGCTTTCAATATTGTACCTTTTAGCCCGGAACAATAAAGTCATTCAAGAAAAGAATGATAATGTTTTAAATCGATTGATGCATATCTTTATTTCATTCTAGATAAACTACTTGCGCCGGTATTGGTACATGTTGATTGTAGGTCTACAGGAGCGTACGTTATATGGACGTCGCCCTCCACCAAGGATATTAATAACATACACCATACTCTTCAGCTCAGCGGAAACAAAAATGTGTATCTGAATACATCTTTTGAAAACATGAATAAAACAGATGATATAGAAATAATACGTATAAAGTGACTAACCTGAAGCCTGGATCGGTCTATATATTTAGAGTTTTGACCTCAAACCACTACGGCATCGCTTTGTCCAATAACTACTCATGTGTAACTGACCCAGAAAGGAGGGAGGGTATGTACATTGATCCTCTTTCTGTTAAGTTTAAAATAAGTAAACATATAAAATGGCAAACATTTTCCTTAGATACAAATAAGGGGTGTCCTACAGAGCAGATAATTGGAGGGACACTAGGTGGCGCTGTACTTACCATTATCTTCCTGATTAGTTAATTAATTAGGTTAGTTACCTGCATTAATAAAAAAAACTGTTAATTAATGAAAAGGGTAAAAAAAAATACTTGAATGTCTGTGTCTTCTATCAAATTGGTATCAGTGAAATATATGGAAATAACGAACAGTATTCCAGATCAAAAGTCTATAAAACAATACAAAATAGGAGCAGCTCTTAAACGTCAGAGGTTGGGTCAGGTGCCATGGAGGAGTGAGCAACCCCTGCCGACCGGTCACACCCGCCGTGTGCCCCTTGTCATGATCTGGAAATACGGAAAAATCCGTCGTCATTGGTTAAATAATGGACTAACAATTACATGTAGTATGAAAAACGTCAGTCAGCATTTGACTCAATTATAAATTGTATTTGCTGGCAGGATCATTGTATCGACCACAGAACAGTGAAATTGAACTTTAAACATAGATTGATTAAATAAATGAACTTGTGTTATTCTTTTTTACATTTTAATTGAATATCGTAAAAATGTTGTTATTGTTATCAAATTTATTAAATGGAAAGTATATATATTCTATAAGAAGTAAAGGTAAGTTACCTGCATTATTCCAAATTTTTTTCTGAATGAAAAAAATGAAGATGATAAAAACCTTAGACAGTAAGTGACAATAAAGACCTTAGACAGTGAATGATAAATTGTCTTTTATGTGTTTGACATCAGAGAGAAAGAAACATTAGTAATATTAAACACAGATGAATGAAATACATGAATTAATGTTAATCTATTTTATACTCATTGAATATCATGAAAAATGTTGCAAATATATATCAAAGTGTAAAGTGTATTTCCTATTATAGACAAAAAAAAAGAACCCGGACAGGTAATGATTTAATAAGTCTTTTACTTCCATGAAGAATTATTATTTCAACTCCTATTCATTAAACATTATTCAAATCTTGATAATTTAAAAAGAAAAGATAAATAATTGGGATAGTTTTTAAAAAGATAAATGGTCGGTTAAAAGGTATGGTTTTAACTTCCGTAAAGATTTTTAATTTCAATTCTTATTCCGTGGAAAAATATTATGTGTTTTCAAACTAAAGTTCCCTTGAGTTGAATTGAGAAATGAATAGTAATGGCTATTAACAATGTATTAAAAACAACTTTTCTTCCTTTCAGACTCTAATAAAGATGAAAATAGGTATTTATAGAAATATATCAAAACATTTAATTTGTAAATTCCTTTACAATTAGGAAATCTACTGCATATTAACAGCATTAAATTATGATCAATATTTCTCTGAAATTTCAAACATAAAGGTCATTGAAGTATGATAAGCTATAATAAAACGTTTGGTAACAAAAAAAAAAGCAAGATGGCGCTCGTGAGGTAAGAGGTGTTTTTTCGGTGAGCGCGAGTTTGGAGAATTTTAGTGAATTAATGACTATTATGACTAAGGATTTCCTAACAGAGTGCTAAAATACTTGAGAGGAACCTTTACACTGTGAAAAAAAAAATTGGATCTAACTAACTGTGTATTTTAAGAAAGGAAATTCTACACAGCCGTGAGTACTGCTTACTATACGATCTTTTAAACACCTCGATTCGTCCGTGCTGTGTCTTTTGTGATAGACATTGATTACGCTGCTTCCAAATAAAAACAAAAACATGCCTGGCACTAGGAAAGGGTCAGAAAAAAGCAGATCTGGGACTGAAAAAAATGAAACGGTTGAAACAACAGACGACTTGACAATAGGGTCACTAAAAGCTGATTTACTTGAAATTAAAGAATGTTTGCAACAAACGGTCAAAACATGCGATTTAGAATCCATGGTGACTAACATAGTGAAAGGACTTCTGAAAATTCATGAAGCAAATGCAGAAAAAAAGAGAAACACATTTAAATAAAAGAATCGAGAATCTGACAAAAGACGTTGATAGATTAACAATGGAAAATGAAACTCTAAAAGAAAAACTGTGCGAAACTAACAAATACAATAGAGAACTGAAAAAGGAAATGGATGAGCTGAAAGATCTAGCTACTTTTGCAACAGTGAAAGCTAACTATAATGAGCAATACAGCAGAAAAAACAATATTAAAATTTACGGGGTTCAGGAAACAGAAGGCGAGGATATTATAGAGGTCGTGAAATCTGTATTGAAAGAGAAAGGGGATGTAGAGGTAAACGAACGTGACATTGTAGCAGTTCACAGAATACCTGGAACCAGGGGTAAAGCACCAAAACCCATTCTTATGAAGATGGTAATTAACGACAAAAAGGCCCACATAATGCGAAAGCGATCAATAGTGAAGGAGGCCCCCGGAAACATTCGACTGGGCGACGACGTTACCAAGGAGAATAGCGAGTTGATCGCGCGTCTGTTGGACAGTGAGGGTGTTTCATCGGCATGGTATTTCAATGGAGCGGTTTATGCACAGGTGAAGAAAAAACGAGTGAAGTTTGACATTCTTGATGACATCGCACACAAGGTAAATAATATCCGGGACTAAAATATCTGTCCGTATCCCAACCAATTTTAGTGCTGTGAAGTGTTTTTCCGGTGTCATACGTATTGATTTTTGACATTCCAAACAGTGACTCACTACATCACAGTAGTCAATTTGTTTTTTCGTGGAACTTTCTTTTATTGTTGAAAATCATTATCTGATTTATTGTACTGTTGTTCTCTTCCTTGCTCTCTCTTCTTTTCTTTCTTCTTTTCTCCTCCGTATCTCGACATATTCAAATCATGAGTTCACCTCCACGGTTCCGTTGGGTATCTTACCTATTTTGCAGAATTATTATACCAAATGGTTAAAATTCTATCCGTAAATTGCCAAGGCTTAGGTGGTATTGCAAAACGCAAGGATGTTTTTATAATTATTTAACATCGTTGAAATATAATATTTATTGCTTGCAAGACACACACTTCTCCTATGATATAGAAAATGAAGTAAGAAATTTGTGGGGATACCAGTGCTTTTTTAGTTCATATACTACAAACTCCAGAGGAGTCGCAATTCTGATTAATAATAACTTTGATTTTAAATCTATTGCAGAAAAGGGTGATGTTGATGGAAGGTATATTTTACTTAAAGCATGTATAGAGGGCCATGAAGTATTGTTATGCACTATTTATGGTCCTAATAATGACACACCATTTTTTTATGAAAACATTCAAAATCACATTGATGATATGCATTGCAGTCATATTATCTGGTGTGGTGATTTTAATCTAGTTTTAAACCCAGACTTAGATTATTACAATTACAAATGTATTAATAATCCAAAGGCAAGAGACAAGGTGTTGGAAATAATAGAAAATTCTTCTTATATTGACCCTTTTCGACAATTACACGAAAATGCTCGTAGATATTCTTGGAGAAGAAAAACTCCGTTGAGACAAAGTCGTCTAGATTTTTTTAAATATCTGAGTCACTCTTGTCAGGTTTAGAAAAATGCACTATAGAATCTAGCTATAGATCAGATTACTCCATAATATCACTGTCTATAGTATTTAATGATTTTAAGAAAGGAAGGGGTTTATGGAAGTTTAATAACTCTTTACTTCATGACGAAAATTATTTGGAATGCATTTAAAAGGTTATCTTAGAGGTTAAAACACAATATGCAACTCCAGTATACAATATGGATAACATAAATAATATCCTAGATTCATATATTCCCTTCACTATAAATGATCAATTATTTCTTGAAACCCTGCTCTTTGAAATAAGGGGAAAAACTATATCCTATGCAACTTACATAAAAAAGAAAAAGGAAAATAAGGAGGAAGAATTATTAGAAAATATCAGGATATTGGAAGAAAATGTTTGTGAAAATAATATTGATGAATTATTTAGTAAAAAGCAAGAATTAGAAAACATTAGAAAACATAAGTTACAGGGTTCATATATCAGAAGTAGAGCAAAATGGGTAGAGGAAGGTGAAAAACCATCAAATTACTTTTTGTTCATTAGAATCTAGAAACTTTACTAGTAAAATCATACCAAGATTAGAAGATAATAATGGAAATGTTATTTATGACCAAACAGAAATTTTAAGAGAAGCAAAATATTTTTATGAACAGTTATATACAAAAAGTACAGTTAATACAAATACTGATATATTTAATGAGTTAAGAAATAAAGAAATTCCCAAGCTTTCATGCAAAGAATCAGAATCTATAGAAGGCGAAATTACTATGGAAGAAGCCTCTTCTACACTTTACAAAATGAAATCAATTAAATCCCCTGGATCAGATGGTTTCTCTGCAGAATTCTTCAAGATGTTTTGGAAATACATTGGGGTTTTTGTAGTTAGATCTATTAATTATGGATATAAGTATAACAGTCTATCTATTACACAAAAACACGGTATCATTACTTTGTTACCAAAAGGTGACAAGCCAAGACAATACTTAAAGAATTGGCGACCTACATGTGTATCACTTTATTAAATACTGTATATAAAATTGCATCTGGATCTATTGCAAACAGAGTAAAACGCTATTTAGATAAAATTATTAATGAAGATCAAACAGGCTTCATCTCCAATAGATATATAGGAGAAAACACCAGGTTAATATATGACATAATGCATTACACTGAGGAAGAAAATATACCTGGATTATTACTACTTATTGACTTTGAAAAAGCTTTTGATACACTTTCATGGAGCTTTATACAAGGCGCTCTTAACTTTTTTAACTTTGGTCCCTCAATTAAGAAGTGGGTATCCCTTTTTAATACAGATATTATATCTGCAATAAACCAAGGTTGTAATCTCTCTGATAGAATTGACATTCAGAGGGGCTACAGGCAAGGTGATCCTTTGTCGCCATATATATTTATTATATGTGCAGAAATTCTAACAATCCAAATTAGATTAAATAAAAATATTAAAGGTATTACTGTAAACAATACTGAAAAAAAGATTTCTCAGATAGCGGATGATACATCACTTATTCTTGATGGTAGTAGAACGTCCCTCACAGAAACATTGAAAACACTGACGACATTTTCAGAAATGTCTGGATTACATATCAATTATTCCAAAACTCACATAGTGTGGATAGGCTCAAAAAAGTTTAGTGATGAAATTTTGCTGCCAAATTACAAACTTAACTGGGGAACTACCAGATTTACTCTTCTCGGAATACATTTTGATGTAGATTTGGATAAAATATTACCATTAAATTATGAACCAAAACTGGTACATATCAAATCAATACTTAAACAATGGGAGAAAAGGTATTTAACTCCCATAGGGAAAATTTTCAAGCTTTTCAAGCGGGGGGTATAAAAAAGCAATCTATGAACAAAAAAGTTGACGAAACTAGGATATGAATGGTATATGGTTGACTCAATGGCCTTGTCAGCAAAACAATCTGTCAGTAAGTTAAACGTTGACTGAGTTTTTCATACTAATAAATGGGCAATTGTTTACCAACGGTTGAATAACACCAAGGTTTGGCACTTTCTCATACCCAGGTGCAACAACATCACACATAGTAATAATTTCACTACAAGGAGGATTCGTGATATGAGCAGCTAGGGTTGACCTTCAACAACCAATTTTCCCTTCGAATGACAGTTTTACCCCCTTACTTCCTATCAGCAAAGAAGAATTTGACAAATCAATTGTAAAAAGTTAGAAAATCAAGCCCTAATATACCGTCAATACTAACATCTATTACCGTAAATTTCTTTTTGATTGTTAAAGTAGACAACAAGAAAGAAATTGAAATAGAACCTTCAACATTTATTGCAGTACCATCTGCGTCCGGTTTGACCTTGTCATCTTGCCTCTTTCTAACATAGGTTGTACTCGTAAAGGAAAACTTATCTGGAGCCTCGTCAACTGACCTATCAGGTTCTCTTCCTTCAGATATATCAGTAGAAAGAGTAGTCGTCCTAACTGATTTATGTTTTGCACCCATTGATTCATAATATTCATCATCTTATGTTGTCCGCCTGCTTTCAGGTAAACCTGAATCTCTTGCGGTCTTTCTTTTACCTTCATCAAGCTAGCCTGAAGCTTACTTAGCTCTCTTTCAATTTTAGTAAGGTCATCCATACTATCCATTACTAACAAATAAGAACAATGGCTATTGGAAGCTACGAAATGTAACAAGCAAATTAAATAGAAAAATCAAGTTCCCAAAATCCCACCGCTGCCACCATATTTTGTAACGTGTCGAGCAGCGGAATGTTAAATTCTCTCAGGGGTCGTACGTTGTCGATTCAAGCTTTTGGGGGACGATTTCTTATATAACATTTTTTTCTTAATAAATGCATAGCAAATGATTGAAAACAATGGCTTGCTTAATAAACAAATAAAATGGCCTAACCCTATCTAGGTTTATAATCATGACGACAATATGGAATAGTGAATCGAATAATTACAATTCCTGCAAACGATTGAGTAAATAGCAGTGGGTAGACTATCCCATAAAATGGCCAACCTAGAGCTACCACTTGTACTGCAGCCTTATTCAGGACACAGTCATTACAAGTGACAGCCCTTCAACTGCTATGCACACTGCTATTCTTATTCAGGCAGACACATTGCACACAACATCCTGGTTGCCAAACAGATCAGACAAATTATATGTGAGGTGGCTAACCTCCTTTGTTGGTTAGCCTTTGAATGGCTTGCCATGCCAAAACACATAAGTTCAGCCTATTCTAAAGGCTAACTATTTTTTACAGTCTCACTTACCACTGTTTATATATTCACACGCATCTTATACGCAGCACAGCTTGCACTGGAATATTACATTCTATACCAGGATCCAGCCTTTATATACTTTTTTTTAACACGGAAGTTTACTCTGCAACATTATAGCTGAACTCGAATGGTCACAATATAATTTCCGGAATATTACAAAAACGTTTACTTTTTCACCGTTCAGCGAAATTAGTTTCCACCTGTGAAGACGGACGGATGCTACACAGCTGTAAAACGTCAAAAGAAACTCTGTATTTTTTCCATGGCAAAAGAGAATTACTTGCACAGGTCAATCATATTATGACAATACAGTAAACTGCAATAAAATGTAAACAAAAATAATGTAAGATAAACAGCAGGAACAAGTGTCGCCCATTCCACACATGTACAACACAGGTACCCGTGACAAGAAAGCGAAAAGGTGTAATAAGAGCAAAGGTTATATCCCAGTGCTGATATCGGAGATAGGAAAACTAATACCAGTATTGCTTTTTTTTTTACGAGTCGTGTTCAGCTTTAAGTTTAATCGACGCCATTTTCAGTGATACTGTTTTTAGAAATCACACAAGATCTTGTGATGAAAATTAGAAAAAAGAATACTCTTGGAAGCTTCATGTTCTTTATAATTCATATATGAGTAAATGTGCCATGACGTGCACAAGGAGAGTTTCTCTAAGTTCTCCTTACCTCATCAAAACATGATTAGACGTTCGACAAATTTTATTTAAAAGAAAATATATATATATACATGTAAATCTAACTACAAATACATATATTACATATTATCACGAATATGTTTATTAAGATGTTAATTATAATATAGGAATTAGTATTTCACAGTATGATTTATAAAATCGAAGTACTGATAATATAGTGAAACGTTTTAACAAATTATTCTCCCTGTCTAGGATTTGTTCAAGATATTTACAATAAAACATTTTATTCTGAAACGAATCATAATCAAATATTTACTTTTAGAAATGTACAAAAAAAAAACAGATGTATATTTTCCACTAGCATTATTCTATATATCCATTTCCTGTATATTTACATTTGGAAATGTTTTTCTTTATATAACACTAAGGAAAGCAATGTTTATCTATAACTGTATAAATACCATTAGGGGAGCAAGAGGTCATAGATGTGCGTATGGTTCTCAGTGTCGTCATAAAGGGTCGATGCGCGTTCAGTGGATTATTTACAAGCCAATGGGTATGCAAAATAATGCATTTCACACGTTAAAAGTCACAATCAGGCAAATATAAAGTATGAATAAGTCACAAATGTAAATATTAGTAATAAGGTATCATTTTAAAACAACTATCGGCTATAAATACGGGTTGGTACGAGATTTTATTCTTCATAAAGCCCTTCGGGCTTTATGGAACTTAATCAGTATCATTTATAAGAGTTTGAAAGTCTTCATTTTGAAAACTTTTAAACAATTTTGCTTGAATTGCGCGCCTGTTAATGTATATAATTGTAGAAACAGCTATTATCAGAAGCAGGAAAAACCCGATTGCTATACAAATTATGCTTGTTAACGACCAAAACCCCTCACATGTTCCTTTTTACTGGCAGACGGTTCGATTTCGATAGTTGTGTTTGAGCAGTTGTAGTCGGCGCACACCGCGAATTTTACAAGGGAAATATCTGTAATCATGTCTGACCATAGACTGCCAATACGGAATGCTTGCGTTATCTCTTCCACAATTATTGTTATATTTATATACGGGGAAATAATCCTTCTGTCGTTTAAATTGTATAATTTGCTGGGTGCAAGTAAGATATTTAAAAAGTGCCTCCTCGAATACTGCATGGATTCGTTTGCTGATATATTGTTTTGAAAGTATGCCACCCATGTGACTCCTTTTGAATCCCATTCCATCTCGTTTGCAATCGCTTTAACCAGGTCTGCCCCAGCAGAGTAGTCATCTGTTGATTGCAAAGACCGCCGTGACCTTGTTTGTCTGTTAAGACCGATATACCTGATCTGAATTTGTTGAATTTTTCTTTCTTCCGACAAAATTGTTTCGCGGTTTTCACAAGCATTGCGGACATTTAATAACTGCTTGGCTGAAAGAAATATGTCTTTACAAAGATTTCCTGTTCGATAACAATGGGACATTAGTCCCGGTATAACAGTATAAAAGATTCTCCATTTATCCAGGAAGGATAAATCGCAAAACGATGGGGCATTTTTAATTGGGTTTGTATAACAATATAGATGAGAATTCAATGCTTTCTCTTTTATTTCATCGCAAGTGATTGTTAAAAAGGGACGAAGAAGCGGCACAAGTGCGACCTGGAGACAACCTCTAACGGCATCAATCCACTGCAGGCCATCAGTCGAGAAGTTCTGGTAATGGTCTTCGTATAAGTTGCAGAATTTAAGACCATAGTTTATTGCGTATGATGTTTGTTGCATTTCTTGACATGGGAATCGTCTCTGTTAAAATAAAGAGAACTAAAAATTATGGGTAGACAAACCTTTCGTAACAAACCAATATTTTCTCAATAAAAGTCATTCAAAGATGAAAGCGTTATGATAAAACTTTTAACCTCCAAACAGTCGCTGTACCAACTGCAGTCTCCACCTGATGGACTATAGCAATGGCTTGGAAGCTGAGTTTGGTTCTTTGGAGGAGTTTGTGTTTGTTGTGGGGCATCAACTCCACAAGCACAATTGTTATTAACATTTCCTAAAGAATGTATTTAAAAAAGAGAGAGAGAACATTTAAACGATATGAAGAAAAGCTTTTAATCCTATTAATATTACGCCTAGTACTAGCGGTTTGTACTAGAAATGGAAGCAGCTTTTGCTCACCTTCAGAAATTTCATACAATTCCATCATGCACTGGTAGTAGCAGTAGGTTGCGTCGTTGTCCCTACATATGGCGTTTCCTTTTGACACCGTCTGTATGTATTCATTAGTTAAGCACGTTGCCCATTGGTACTTGAAATAATATGGAGTTAAACGCACACATTCAGGAGTACCAACTGGTCCAAAGGTCCCATCACAATCTCCAGACACCAAGTTTAGTCCAAAAATTACACTGAGAACAAAAAATACGAAAATTCTGGCCATCTTTTATTTTCTTCCTTCTTGCTGAAACGCCAAACCCCGAATTCACCTTATATTTTATATTTATATTCCAGGAAGTAACCCTTCTGTGATTCAAATTGTATAATTTCCTTACTGCAATTAAAATAATTAATAGCCGTTCTCTGTAACCACTTAAACTTTTGTGGCACGCGTAGTCACAGATTTTTTTTTTCAAATTTGGCTGGAATTTACCACTTCATAAACTTCTCCGAATATATCGTTAGATCATATGATAGTTGGGTAGTTACCATGAAAACGGTGTCTAATGTTGACTTTTTTCTGAAGAAAAAGGCAAATTTAGGAAATTTTATTTAATGAAATGCAGTCACCTCAATTCATGTTACTCACAGAAATAAGAAATGCGACATCTAGTTTTCAAAAGCATTCCAAAACATTGTTGGTATTCCGACTATAAAATATGAACAATCTCTGTAATTTAAATAAAAGACATTCATTTAAAAATTGAATTATCTCCCATCGATAAATGTGAGCTCTTTAGTGTGAGAGATAAAAGAAATTATTGAACAAAACTAACGGGAAGTTGATATTTTTCATATCTTAAATAAAATCAAGTATTTTTTTTTTATTTATATAATGTGCATACAAATTTTGACTTCTTTTATTTCCTACATGCAAAAGAGTTTCTTTAATGTGTGAACAATGGCGAAATGTAAACGACCACATAGTACATGAAATCAGCTCTGTACACATTCCTGATATTGAAGTCTATGCCTCATTGTCCTAGGAGTTTCAAAATGGGGATAAAAGATAAACTTGAGATATCAGAATGATATTGAATTGAATGTAAATAGAGGTACAGTGATCAGTCAGAGTGATATATTATAATGAACACCCTTGGAATGCCAGTGTTTTATAAAAACAAATGTGAAAAAAAAACGAAACAAAAATGAATAATAATGTGAGAGAACTAAGCTCTTGATTTACCTAAATAGTTAAAGTCAAGATACATTTAAATGATGATACAAAACTGGAAGTTGAAAGTTGGATAAAAATAGGCTTTACAATAATAAAGTACAAAATACTGTTGCATCAACTTTATCGAATGGTGTGTTTTAATTGATGCCCATTATTAAAAGTACTTTGATATGTTTGGGAGGGGGAACAGATTTTAGAAACTAATAATTTGTTCTTAAAAATTTGTAAAATAACTAGTCTATCCTCGACTGACAGGAGTAGAAATAATATCCTTGATAAATCCTACAGCCCTCACCCACGGGCACTTGTTTTGGTAATTATATTTTTAACCCATATGCTGATAAGAAGTAAAACATTTTACCGAAAAAATGTATCATTGTAAGAGTTCAAAGCTTTTTAAGTTATTGTCCAGAAACGAAAGTGTTACACATACATTTAGATAGAAAAAAAGATACCTTGACGGACGGACAAACAGACGGTCTGATCCAAATAAATTCCTTAACTTTTAGTGAAAGTTAGTGCAGTTAGTGCTCCGCTGTAAAGGTTTAGTAACAAAAAATCTCTACTAAGTGGCTATAGTGATGGTAAAAGCAAGATTAAATGAAGAGGGAAGACCTGTAATGGAGAAACTATAGAAGAACTGCCTACAGCATATTCTAAATGTAGTATAAATCAGAATAAGATCGTTAAAAACTCAAATTAAAAAAGAAATCTAAGTCTATAACATCAACACGTTCGACTTTTCTACACGTTATAAACCATTTCTTACTTAAATATCATAGACAACTGCTAAATCAATTAAAATGGAACTCCTACAAACTCAAAATTTTCTTTTGATTGTCCATCAACATAACTTATTTATTCGAAAAACACTCCGATTCTACATAAAATTACTATCAGACTGATATCAAAACGATACTGGATTTCCTTAATAACAACATTTATTTACTTTTCAGAAACTATGTCCTTCAACAAACGTTTGAAATTCAAATGGGTATTACTTCTGCTTCTCCATAAACGAACTTGTTTTTATATTCCTATGAAACATAAATTATTCAAAAACATCTTTATAGGAAGAAAACACTTGCTGTGGCCTTTAACTCAACATTGAGGACTAACGACGGCGTTCTATCATTTAACAATAGTTACAAAAGCCCAGAAGAATCATCCGAGGTTCGAGGTTCGAAATACGAGATTCGAAATTCGAGTTTCGAGATTCAAGATCCAGATTAACCAATTAAAAGCGAGTTCAACATTTGATAACTCCCCTTTATTATGATTTTACTGTCAAGAAATCGTTTAATATATTTATATCAAATGAGTCATTTAATTAAATTACAATGCAAGAAAGAGTGTTATATATACTCAACAAAAAAAGAAACGCATATTCAGATTAAACATGATAATCTAAGTTTTCAGTTTAATCCTTATTTTTTTAAAAGTGATTTTAGAGGGTTTTGATAAAAATTAAACATATCATGTGTTGCGGGTAAAATGTGAAGTTTATGTCATGGTCGACGCCTCCAAATTCTTGGGGCATACCGTTTAAACTAATCCAGTTTCTCTAAATCCAAAATATCAACGAAAATAGACGTCCGATTCAGAAGAAATCATGAAAAACACTACTTTCATAAACGCGTTTAATCAAGGGAGATAATTCAACACTTGGGTGTTAAAACCCCATGTTGTCCTTTTAATAGGTCACAGGTATCCAATGATATCAAAGATAGTTGTTCCATGTACATTTGAAAAAATTCTTTCACGAGTGAAGCAATCAGAGTGTTATATATATTAGAAGGAAATTGAAATAATCATTGGGTTTTTTTTATAAGCAAGACATACTTTAATCTATATTATGGCTTCTTAAATATTAAATAGAATACGTATATCAGGAGTATATATATAAATTTGTATTGTCAACTTTGTTTTCTGGGTCGATGACATATAAATAAAGTTATAAATAAGTGTAAAGTGTCTAAAGATTTACAATAACCCTACCCCTACCCACCCCACCTTCCCATTCTCCCAAACACATTGAAAATTTTTCTTTGTAAAACTTGAAAGGCGATGTAGTATTGATAAACAAAAATCACGTTCGTTTTGCTGATAGAGGAAATACATAAAAATTAAGTGTTTAATTATTTATCTTCATCTAAGCCTTTGATTTCTTGAATTATTTAAAATTACATATACAATACAGACTGGCGATATGAATTAAATTAAATGCGGCATTTATTTTTTCTTTTATCAAATATAGGTGTAGAACCATAGCGTTATGGTTTTATATTTTAGTCTCTGACCATTAGTGTTATGGCCAAAGACTGAAATATACTCGTGAAACCTTATAACGCCACAGTTCGATTCAGCAGTTAAGACTCACTGCACAATTGTACCCTTTATAAATGTAATGAAATATATACACTTGAACTACTGTGCAATGTAGAGACGATTCATATTATTTCATATCAAGTTATAAGTAATAATCAAATAAATATTCTCCCTCAGCAATTATTTGATTTTATTATTGAATTTATTTTATTTAAAAAAAAACCCTACTTGTTCCGCAAGATATCGATAATACCATATAATATTCCATATATACGTATTTACTATTTTGTTTAATAAGAAAAATCACCCATTTGTTCTAAATATATTCAACGAAGTCTTGATAGTAAAAACATAACAAAGGGGAGAAATCAAATGTGGAATCCGCTTTTTGATTGGTTAGTTTGGATCTTGAATTTCGAAACTCGAATTTCGAATCTCGTTTTTCGAAAATCGAATCTCGAATGAGCCTTTAGGGCTTTCGGAAATAGTTACTTCCAGTCATTTATCAACTCGCTTTGTCCCAGTGAACCTGAAAAAAAGACAACAAAGAGCCCGTGGTATTTGTTCTATAGTGTTTTACTGAATATAGAGTCGTTTGCGTGGCGTAGTGGTTAGAACGTCTGCTCTAGTGTCGCGGAGTACGTAGTTGGTCCTTATAATTACCTCAAGTTTCAAATCCTACTGTGGGACTTGGAGACAGGTCCTTCGGATGAGACGGTATAAATCAAGGTTCAGTGTCGCAGGAGGTGTTGGCACAAAAAAGATCCCTCACTGCTCAATGGCATTGAGTGACGAGTATAGGTCAAAAAATGCAGTTCTCAACCGGCAAGTGATGGCGTCTCTAAATGAGTGAGAAATTGTCGAGAGAGACGTTAAATAAACCAAACAAACAAACAATAAATAGACTATAGAGGCCAACTTACAATTCAATTCTATGACAAACGAGATGAAATCAGTTTTTTCAATGTGATTTGCATAATGTAACTTATCATCAATATGTACACCAAGAATTTTTTCAGTTTCAACTATTTCAATTGTTTTGTTTGGGACATAAAGTTGTAAATTTGGATTATCTAATTTTGATTTTCTTTGCTGTTTTCCCATTAGCATACTTTTGTTTTATCAACATTTAAAACCATTTTGATTTTGACACCATTTCTCAATCTCACAAAGATCTGAGTTTAGTGTATTTTGTAAACACCTTGCATTTTTATTACAATACAGAGTAACATCATCAGCAAACATATCAATACATGTATTTGAATTGTTTACATGTAATGGAAGGTCATTTATGTACAATAAAAATAAAAGTGGGCCCAAACTTGACCTTCGTGGCACTCCTGCTGTGACGGGTAGAATATTGGAGACACGTGATCCAAATTTAACACATTGGGTCCTATCGTAAAGATATTACTTAAACCACTTTATAGCTGTTTGGTCAAATTTGTAATGGGTTAATTTCTCTAGAAGAATATCATGATTCACCAAATCAAATGCTTTACTAAAATCTATAAATGTAATACCGATTAGTTCCCCACTATCCATTGCATTAAGCAATGTTAAGCCAACTTTCTGTTAGTTTTGTAAGTGAAGTTTGACAAGAATGGAGTTCCCTAAACCCCGACTGGGATTGTGTTAGTAGATCAAAGGGTAATTGATTCGACCATAGAACTTACGAAATGATGACTTCAAACGAGACTGCTGATATTCTTGTTCCATCAACTTGCTTGTCAATAATTTACCTCGTTTCAGAAATTGTTCATACG